GATGATCGAAGACTTGGTGAGGCATGAGCAACTATGGACCCATGAAAGCAGACGCATCACCGAAGCGGTCTCAAGGACCGATGAGCAACAGAAGAAGAGAGTGTACAATGAAAGACTTCAGCTATTGTTCCAAGGGAACATGCTCGCAGCCACGAAACGCCATAAGGCCAAGATTCGGTTGCAGTTCCTGGGAGTGAGAGTGAAGGACCCCGGCACGGAAACTCTTGGATCAGCAGGTTCGAACATGTTGGTATCGGTTCCTGACCAGATCACGGAGATCCAGAACAATGATCATTGCCGGCACAGCCAGAGGTACCTGAACGTTTGCAACGGCTGGGTGAAGCCATGGGCAGTTCGGGCTACAAGTGGTCACTCTGCACACTCGGATCCCCAGAACAATTTGCTTCAGTTGGACAAGAACAGGTTCGCAATATCTCCATCTATGACCCTCTTGCAACGTCTTGGAGGCGCGTTCCACGCTACGGCATGCCGCAACTTGGATTCCATTGTCACGCAAGGCATCATGCCTGGTTCGGAGGACCCCGACGGGGACTTCGACCATAGGCGCCAATTTCGAGGCAACCAAGGCGGCAGACTCCACAGCTATTGGGGGGTGTTTGCACCGTTCGATCACCGGAATGCAACGACCAAGATGCGGGTGCATGGACGAGATGCCAAGCACATGCCACTGGCGGTCCTTCATGTCCCATCGCAGGACCTTGCACGAGAAGATGGACGTATCACAGACAGCGGCATCATGATCGTTGGCCGAACGATACCTTTCCATTTCGTCAAGGAGGTATGGTTTTGCGTCCCGGATCCTCAAGATACACACTCTTTCGCTCTGGTGGAAAAGATCTACGATGAACGATTGGAGAAAGAGCTGGTGTTGGACTACAATGCATCACCGTTGCTCCCTGAGTTCGAGAGATACCGAACGCCGAGCAAGATCATGGAATTGCTTTGCGAAATGCCTCCTGGACCCCACGACACCAGCAAGGAGCAGATCATTCGAGACCTCACGACTGTCCTGGAGTCCCACAGGGAGAACACGGTTCGGCATCACTACATGGACAAAGGGATCAAGTTTGTCATCAAGAATTGGCGACCCGAAGACCTACGCAGAGACGAGGATGGAAGGAGAATGAGGGTGTGCCCGGCATGCTACAACATCGTTCCAGCATGTTTCTCCCGATGCACGTCTTGCTGGTCACAGTTCGTTTCGAGCGGATATTACCAAGGTTCTCCACAACGGGAGACTCCTACGGAGATCCCCAGTGACTTCATTGCTCAGACAATGGAAGCCGCAGCAGCAGCAGTGCCTGAGGCGCCCGAAGAGGAGCAGGAAGCCATGGAGGTAGAGACCGTTGCGGAACCTGAGGAAATCCCAGAGCCATCTGTCATCGCAGAGGACGATCCAGAACAGGAACCTGATGAAGAAATGGACATAGAGCCAGGAGAGGAATTTGATGACGCAGTACCAGATGCAGTTGCACAGGAACGTCGTCCCGTCTTCATTACCGGCCAGTCTTTGAACATCGATCCTGAGCTACAACTTGCACGTACCGCCATGCAGCCATCCTACTATTCTGGAAAGCGAAATGCCCATTGCATTGACGCCAACATGGCCGCTCTTTCGTATATGGCATACGTGGTATGCAGATCCATCTACAAAGCTTGGTCAGGGTTCGCAAAGTGGGCGACTATGCCGTTGTTCCAGATGAAGGAGAATTTCGCACTTGGGCAACGCTATGATGTGCTCGGAAAGTGGGGATCTTTGGCGGTAGTGGATAGGGAAACGGGTGTGAGCAAGGATGTGACTGATGAGGAGATCATTCGCTTTGCCAAGGAGCCTGAGAACCTCAAGCAGTATGATCCTAACGGCACGGGACTTACACCTTGAAGCGCTTCCGGACGAATCAGATGCTTTCGTTGCTTACACGGGGAGCCAACATGATGGGAATTGGCAGGGACAACTTCAACCCTACTACTTACTTGAAGAGCGACAGGGATGAAGATGTGAAGGCTATGCACTTTTGTTGCCTGAACGTCCTGTGCGAGGTGATTCCAATGGTGACAGGACACCAACAATTCTCAGTGCTACGACCAACGCCAACTGGACCGGTGGACTTCTTGTACATCGACCCCGTCGGTATCCTGCTGACTCATTCCGATCATTCAGTCCAGACCATCGGATTGCTGGTGGACCACAATGTGCAAATGCCTGCGCATTTCATGGACAGATTGAACAGATCCAAGGCTGAGAGACAGCAAAACCCGACGACCAAGCGTACTGAAGCCCTACACCACATTTCGGCTGCTGATTATCTCCCTCCAGGTGGTACTTCCATCCTGGACACGCCTGTCACTACGGAGGAACGTGCAAGCGCTTCTTCGGCCAAGGGACCTTCAAAGGGGCGTGAGAGAGCCGGAGGTGAACAGCATGGAGGCTGGAACGCCAACACCTACTATGACTACACCGCCGGCAAAGGCCGAAACAAAGGCAAGGACAAAGGAAAGCAAAGGGAACAGTATCCAGAGGAAAACCTCCGGCCCTGGGACCGCGATCCTGCGACCACGCGAAGATGGAGATGAATCAACGCTTGGTCTTCCTCGCCTATCAGTTCGTGACCTCTGAGCTTCGCCCATGGAATGCCATCGCGAATGCTTCTTTCTTCGGTGACGCCTGATTCGTTTGCCATTTCAGGGGATCGTTACTGACGTAGATGAGTGTCACAACGTTTCTAATTGGGATGCAAAGCTCTGATTTTCAATGTCAACGTTGCGGCGGAACATTTTCTGTTGTCCTATCGTGCCATCTTCCGGGTGAGCAGCGTCGGAGACGCAACTCATGGGGGGTGCGAACGGACTGCGATGCCTTGTCAAGTTCTAAGGTGTCACTATAAGAGCTGTGAGCAAGACCGTGTAAAGTGCAAGAGAAGGGGGCACGCTACGCGTCCCTCGACTCTAAGGGGGCACGCTACGCGTCCCTCATCTTTACCTTTCTATGTGACCGCCCACGCAACGTTTGGCTCAAGTCAATGCCCATAGCTAAGTGCTATATGTGTCTTCTATCCTGAGCAATCAGAGCTATCCCGTTGCACAGACGAACCGCCGCCGGCAGTGAGTGCAAAAGGAACGGCCGCCGGTTCTGCCTGCATAGGATTGCACACGTGGAAGTGTAAGAGAGACAGGGTCCAGTCTGTGGAGAGTGCAAGCCAGCCACACCTACATTCATTACAGCTCTGGTGGGGAGAGCAGCAACCTAGTCGAGATCAATCCCCCACGCATTTGCGAAAGGTTTCCTTATTCTGTCGTGTTCTCATATGCTTACACTGATGGCACTTGCCATAATCAAATATGGTCATTTTCCCTACTATTCTAGGGCGACTTTTCTTTAAGTATTGTTCGTATCAATACATAAGGAAAGGGAAATATAAGGTAGTATAGATATGAGTAAATACCAAAAAGGAAAGATTTATAAGATAGCTGATATAGGGTACAATAAATGCTATATCGGTAGCACTTGTGAAAGTTTATGTAAAAGAATGGGAAGGCATAGGCGAGATTATAAGCAGCATTGTACTATTTACAATAAAACAAAAGCATATCCTCGCTCAATGATGTTATTTGATGAATACGGAATTGACAATTGTAAACCTGAACTTATTGAAGACTACCCCGCCAAGAACAGAGCAGAATGCTTGAAACGAGAAGGTTTTTACATTAAAAATACAGAGTGTCTAAATAAAGTTGTATCAGGTAGTACTAAAAAAGAATATTATGATGAAACAAGAGAACAACAAGTAGAACATAAAAAACAACATCGTTTAGACAACATTGAACCATATAGACATAAAGATAAAATATGCATAGATAATAACAAGGATGACAAAAGCCAAAAACCACCAACATTATCAATTTAACAAAGAAGCAATCAGAGAGAGGCATAGAGCATACAATTAAGAACATAGAGAACAAATAAGACACCAACAGAAAGAACGTTATGAACGAAATAAGGAGGAAATTAACCGCAGAAGGAGAGAACGACGCCTTATTTCTCAACAAGCAACAACTCATGACGCATAAAACGTTTCTTATGATTTTCAACTAAATAATATGTATTTGATTCGTTGTACATCACGGTTTACTTCAACACTTCATATGCTTTGTCAGTCCATTTTGAACGAGACTCTTTGAAACGGGTGTAGTTCCCACCGCTTTTTGTATAATTTTTAACTTTATCACCTTCTTTAATCTTAGGGTATTTCCTTAGGTACTTTTCTTTCAACACAGAGCTAGACTTCACTGTCAGATGGTTTTCATCACGGTGAGCGTCATTAGGAACTAAACCAGTCGTTGAATGAACCAATTGTTTGTTGTATTTGCCGCTCATGCGTTGATTTTCCCCACAAGTTTCCCGACTCCTGCCTCCTCTCCTTCCCGACTGCTCCGCCCCCTGTTCCCGACTCCTGCCGCCTTGTTTCCCGACTCGTGCCTGTTTGTTTCCGACTTTGGTTCCCCGACTTTCCCCTCACCCGTTATGCTGAAGTGTTGGATCAGAAGCTTCGATTATTTCGCAAGGCTTGTTGAGCTGCTGAGATAAGGGTTGAACGTGATTATGACGACCTTTCAGCATTTGCAACCCTCCTGCATGCCCACAGCCATAGAAAGCGTGCAAGCACACATGATGTTCCGTAGCATCGTGAAAACCGGAAAGACTAGAAGCTTCTAGAAAGCTAGGAGAGCTTGAAAGCAGGCTGAACGCAAAAAACTGCGCGCTCGCGCAGTGGCCGCCGGCTCACCACATGGCAACAAAAAGTAAGATGCATTGCCCCGGAGTGGAAGAGACAATTGAAACTGAAGCCAAGCCATCTGCGTGCATATCACAATCCTACCGTTTCTGTTCAGTTTAGGTTTTTGAATGGTTTTTGAGTGACCGCTAATCACTAATGTCCTATGTGTGTTCTCAGTCCCGAGCTTGGCCCGCCTTTGCTTAGATGGCGCCCGTGGGGACTTCCGCTGCGGAGAGCATCCTGGAATGAACGGCTGACTTGTCTAAATGGGCCTCTGAATAAGAAATCCTTCAATTGGGGCCCCATGGTGGAGACGCCATGATGCTCAAACACGCAAGGTTATCTTCAGATCTTATGTTAGAGGTCAGTTCCCATGCAGCAGTTGGTGCTACAGGCCTTGCAAGAGGAAAGCCCAATAGACCAGCTCATACGTTTGGCCCGAAACCCGCTTGAGCATGTGCGTATGTACAGATGCGTATGCCTCTGTATAGGTGTAGATGTGTGTCTGTCTGTAAGAAGGAAGCAATTTGGGTCTCAAGGCATATCAACCTCCAGCTCCACACAGCGACAAACACACACAGCGGCACAGGCAAACACGCAAACACGCACACACGCACACGCAGACACACACACGCACACAAACACACACACACACACACACACACTCACACACACACACGCACACGCACACACACACACACACACACACACACACACACACACACACTCCCGCACCCGCCCGCTCGCGCGCTCTGACAGGTATGTACGATCTCGCACGTGGCATTAAAGATCATAGAGCGCCCTGCTCTGTCCACCGGACCATGAAGAATGAGAAAGTGTGTGCTGGAGTGTTCCTACACTCGCCACCGTTTGCATCGCAACCACGACGACCGCCGGGACAAAGACGACGACCTCATTTCGCCGTCATCACCTAATAGTGTTCGCCATGTGTTTTAAATGCCATCTCTACACAACATCGCTGTCGCCCTCACCATTCACCATCACTATCACCATCGATGTTTGCATCGTCGTCAGCATCATCGTCATCTTTATCGTCATCATGGACAGCGCAGGAGCAGAAGCAGCACGACCACAACGAAGACCTCGAGCACAACACCGAACAGTCATCATCGACATCATGATATCAGCAATATCGTTACAGTCTCTCATGCCGCCTGCACGACCAACACCGCCACGGCCGCCACCGGCGCTACCATCACCATCGCCGTCATGATCGTCACCATCGGTATTTCAGGAACGTAGAACCGTGGCACGCCATGGAGAGCATGTTTGGAGGTACAGCAACCCGAAGGCCCGCGCGGGTCTGCGCTTGATGCGCGATGACCAGAGGCGGAGTGGTCTATTGATTTGCTGAAGTCCTCGAAGTTTGTCACGTGTCGACACTTTGATCTCAAGAATTCGTTTGTGAGTCTTCCGGAACATGGGCTTGGACACATCTTAGTTGTTTGATTTCAGCTTCAGGCCGTTCTTCCGGTTGGCAGTGCAGCAGGCCGAAGCGGCGTACAACATCAAGGACGGTTTAGTTCTCGCAGTCTTGTCCCTTGGGATCAGATCATGCGATGCGTCAGCTGAGGCGAACCATCCGCTCTTCTTCTACTGGATGCAGGATCGAGCGGGCTTCAGGTGAAGGTAAAGGTTCATCCAGAGGGTTTTCTGCGATGCTCCGTGTGTAATTATGCGTGCATATTATGCACATGCCACATGCAATATGACTGGGTCACTGGTCACTGGTGTGTGTTCATGATTGATGACGATCCGTAACGGTGTGATGCTGAACAAGAACTCGGCATAACTCGGTTCTAATGCCAATGGCGATTCTGACTGCCTTCTTAGTGGGTCGTGCTTTGCATTATTTTACTGTCCTTCCTGCCACAATCATCACATGGATCATGGCCATAATCGACAGAAGCTGCCCTCGATACGAGCATTGTCAGCTTGAACTAGGTACCTCGATCATATTGCTTCGTATCACCGTTATTCTAGTTGTCATAGGTGGTCTTGTGAACTTTGAAATATCTTGCCGTCGGCATGGCTCGTGCTACTGTCCATGTGGGCTGTTCTATGTTTGGTGTGTCCTTGCGTGTATGTTTTGTCTCTTGTGTTTCATAATCCTTAAGTCTCAACATAGCCCAAAAGCCTTATATAGTATGGCCTTTGGGCCCAAAAGCCTTAAATCATGAGTCCTTAGACTTATCTTAAGTTGTTCTTTGCCATCGTGGGCTGAGCAGGATCCAGTCGCAGAGACGATGAGCTACAAAGCCTCAGGCCGGGATTAAAGGAAATTTCGGCGGGGTTGGATACAGACTAGGTGGCAATTTGGGAAACTTTTTAATTTTCCTTATGGTTCCTATAGAGGTACCTATTCATAAATACTCTTCAGAGCCCCAAAACTACAACCCAGAAGATCGCTTCCATCTTTTAGACATGTGGGCTCCTAAGGGGGTGGGAACTGAGATGCATGGCGACGAATTCTAGACAGTCTGCGGGACGGGGGGCCAAGCTTACTCCCGCATATCGCCGCTGCTTGACTGTATCACCGCCAGGGGTCTTCCATAGCTCGAGTTTTGTTGGTTCCTGATCATCTCGCATTTTTACAGTGGATGATTCCAGAATGAACTTAACAGATCTAGCATTCGAGGCCTCACCGGATCAGTGGTCAGAGGTGGGTACCATCTTTTCCGGGCTAGCGTTTAACAGCCGCCGCTCACAGGGCAAAAACGCGTCTCGCAAGGTTCTGCAAAAACACGCTTGCATCAAGCAATTCCTTGTGTAGCATACCACCTTAAGCAATCGTTTTTGTCTGGCCGTAGCATTAGCCGTTGCTGTTATTAGCAACAGGAGAAGAAGCCACGGCACGAGCAACACCGACAACAAGACACTGTGGAAGATTGCACGTGTTCGAAAGCCGCTGCAGGCCTGTCTCATGCGCTGATGGCAGTGTCTGGCCACTTCGTGTTCAACCTGCTCTGCGTAGCAGGCGCCAAGTTCAGGGACCAATAGCCCAGCGCCTTGAATCTCGCCAATTTGCTTGAAAGAAGGCCTCGTGGAAGGGTCATGATCGTGTTGTGGTAGCATACAGATGCCTGTAAACGCGATTGCCGAGGTGGCCTCCGCAAACCAATCTGCAAACTCTGCAAACCAAGAAGAGCCTCATATTTCTTTTCTGGGTTTCTACCTTGTCATGCAACCGGGCCTGCCTGCATGGATTATACATTGGGCCCTGAGCGGTTCCCTGCTGCCAAGTCAGCCATTGCAAGGTGTGTCATGGGCCTTCTCCAAGATCTCGCACAAGTTCTGAGAGGGAGCGGCTCAGGTCTTGAGACTCTGAGACCTGTGCTTGGACTGCAAGGTCTCGAAAAGCTCGTTGTGCTTTGCCGTGCCTGCGAGACAGCTACGAGAACCCGACGCCTCCAGCCTTGAATGAAGCTCGTGGTTCGAGCGCGAAACAGGCGTCGAGGAGCACTGCCAACAACCTCACTGTGTGCTTTACACTTCCATTCTGTTGACGGTAGGGAAGCGACTTTGCTGCATTGCATTCGCATATACAGGCGGTGGCAAAGCCGGAGGCGACGGTACGAGGTACCACGGGTGGGAGAGGCTTTCATGGCGGGCTTATGTACACTGTCATAGCTAAGTTGAGTACCACAAAAAACCCAGGATTGTCAGACAAGCAGCAGGACACGTTGACAGGCCCCAGCTTAGACGAATCGGGTTCGAGTACTGCGCTGCTTATGGTCTCGCCCCCTAAAACGATACCTGTGGTCTCAGCCTCGGCCGACCAATCACCAAGAACTTCGCTTGGCATGTCCGAGAGTGCGCTCCGCCACCCTGCAGAGCCAGACCCTGAACCGTTGAGGTTTGAGAAGTCAGATCCATGACGGCTTGCCAGGTGACAGCAGTGCAAAGTGCCAGTGAGCTGCTCGAAAGCAGACCCGAAATAAGGGGCCCAGTGTGTGGTAAAAGAAAGCAGCCAGTCGAACAGATCGCAGATGTTATAGACATGTATGTGTGTCTCTGGACAGGTTATCATTATAGTTAAGCAGTGTGTGTATAACTGTGTCTTATATACGTATGCACACATCATACAACTGTGTGGATATGCATACATATATGTTACAAGGGATTTGTGCTTGACACTGCCAGACCTGTGTTCCCAGCAACAGCGTGCAACAGTGCATGGGCATTTGGCGACCCCATACTGTCCAGCCAGCTAGTCCCAACAAAGCATTCTGTGCTGCAGCCCCGCCGCGCAAGCTGCTCACGAAGGTGGTGCTGGTGACGGCGACATAGGAGACATGGCATTGTTTTGTTTCAAAGCTTCGAGAGAGGCGCCACCCCCTTGTTATGCACAAACATGCCTCACACAAGAGGACAAGGAAATGCACCTACTGCAGCTAGAAACTAGCCAGTGCACCTGATCCCTAACCGGGTTCGATCAGCACCAGCAGCAATGGTCGACTTGGACGGAGCCTCAGATTCATTGTCGCTGTCATTCACAACATCGGCGCCTGTGAAGACAGCAAGAACCCTGACGAAAACAGTGCGGGTACACAGCAGCAAAATTCACGCAAAAGGGCAAGAGTAAATTGGAAAAGTTGAGTTGCCTTGAACCGGCATAGTAGGATTCCTGTGGTTTTCCGGCTAGTCTTTGGATCAAGCTCACTAGGAGCCCTCATCTTCTCACAGACATGCATAGCCAACGTTTCATGTATGTGTGACACCTGCTGAGGGCTGAGGCTGCTAAGGTTCGATGTCTGAACTTGCGTCGCCGAGCATCGCATGGTGATGCAAGCATGGACCTCTGACAACCTGGGTCGGCACCACATTTCCATGCCTTAGGCATCCTTGGGCAACATCAGGCCAAAAAGACATGCGAAATATTGACTAGGTGTATTAGATACAGTACCCCGGGGATGTCGCGGGTATAGGATGCTACATCGTCTCAGTAATTGCATTTGAACCGTTCTTGACTTTGAGTTCGATGCCCAAGGCTCTGCAGACCCAGATTCTGGCAGGCAGTGCCGCCGGGACAATCGCGGCGTGGATGCTCAGCATTTTCCCGGGCCACCAAAGCTTTCACTTCCAAATTTGTTTGGGGGTGCCAAGGTAGGTTATGATTAGTTGCATGACATGAACGTTGTGTGTAGCCCTTAAACAGGTGTGCTAAGGGGCAGCCGATGTCAGCACATCGCATTCATTGCACCGTCGGAACGCAGAGTAGGAGCTTGCAAATCCGGCATGTAGTCAAGCATCTTCTATGCTTCCGCGACAGCTCTCAGCGATTACCTAGCTGTACCTGCCGGCGTTATGCCGCAGTACCTTTGTTGAAGCCCATCAGGACATCATCACGCACCCGTTGTCGACGATCAAGACTCGGCTGCAGGTTCAGGCATGCAAGCTGGTTCCATTCTTCGTGCTGCTGTGTAGATACTTTTGCTTTCACTGTTGAGGTGCTGGTTGCTGTCAACATTTGACTCGAATTTGCTTACAGACATTAATGGTCACCGGTTCGCAATGATTTGGTCCTACTTATTTTGGACAGGATTAAGGTCGACGGTCTGTGTTTACGACTGGGTTTGAAGCTTTTTTGAGGGCAGCTCTCTCTAGTGGAAGCCTTAAGTTGAGTTTTTCTTCACCAAGATACCCTCAGCCCAGAATCGGAGTATTGCAATGCACCGGACATGAACAAAAGCAGCAGGGTGCGACAAGCAACCTCGGCTGCAACTGCAACGCGAGATGACATTTAAGGTGAAACAGATTCGCGACATTGGTCTGTGTACAGAGCGAGGGCCCACTGTCCGTTTTAAGTCTGCGAGGTAGTCTTCTCGGTTGGCTTGTGTCAGGCCGCGGTCTGCCTCCGAAATCCAGGTTGTCAGATACCACAACTGCGATGAGCCTGAAATCCGACCAGGGCAGCGGTGGCGGCGGGCATGGTGCCATTGCCTATCGGGGCGTGTGGCTCTTAATTTGACGCTTCAGGTCAATTCTTGTGCACATGACTCCAAGCTTCTGAGTTCGCGATATGATTAGTGCTTTTGCCTTCACATCCTGCTGCTATACTGCGTACCTTTGTAGTTGTCCTTTGATGGCGACAGCCGCGAGGACGTATTTGACGATGGCTGCTGATGGAGATGCTGTTTGAACATGATCATTTGACAATGGCAACGGCAGCAGTTGATTATCCTGATGATGAGGAGGATGCTGGCTTCTTGTGTTCAGGCGTCTTTTATCCCCTTCGCTGCAGTACTTTGGGTTACACCCCACTACATGTTTGCGAGTTCTCAGGTCACCCATGCATTGAGCCACATCATGAGAAATGTGCCGGGCTTACGTTACAGGGGGCGCAGCCGGTCCGGGCTTCTCGTTGGGGTTCCTTGGCTGCGCATGCTGACAAGCCTATAGCGATCGAGAATCTTGGCAACTGGCGAGCGACCGGTTTCTGTGAACATGAACACGGCGGAAGGAAGTTTATAGTTCAGGAGGGCCACACTCCTTGGCATGCTGAGCTTCAATCCAGAATCAGTGAGAATACAGTTTCGACAGTCTTTTGCTCTGAATCAGGGTGCCCATAGAGTGTCAGTTTATCTTGGTCCGTTCTCAGATCAACGCGATCAAGACTGATAGAGTCTGATAGAGAAGCAGGTCCTTTAAGAGACCAGCCGCAGCTGTTGTTATACACCACATACTTGCCAGCCCTTGTCTTTCCACAAGTTCTTGCATCTTCCACGAGTGCCCGTGGCGCCATCCGAATCAGATCGCAGAACTGCAGAACCACTATGTCGCAACACAAAGACGTACACCCTGGGCAACTGTCTCCCTGGCCAGTGCCACTGATGATCAGGAGGGCCTCGTCACTTTCTACCGTGGTCTCGGCGCCGTTCTCGTTGGTGCAGCTCCTGCGCAGGTTTGGATCAGAGTTTCCTCCCAGAGGTTCCAGGATCCTCGTGCATCGCTTTAGTGGAAGTCTGGAGTAGTGAGTAGTACGGACCTCGATCGGGAACCCAACTCAGAAAGGGGATGCTGATCCTCAAGCCTTGTCCCGAACCGATGAACCTGCTTCGTTGTGTGCTGTCACTGGTAGTGCGCCTGGTGGCGTCTCAGCTTGTGTAGTGATGCGGATGCGAGTATTAGTACTAGTACTGCCGATTGAAGTGAATAGATCGCGAATGTAGACTGCACATGTGAATGCCAAGAAATTGCTCGAGCTTGCTGACATTGATCCCTCCAACAGTCCTTCTTGCGGAAGAAACAGAGTCTGTCTAACCCATGAGCGCACCACATCAAAGCCGCAAAAGAACCATTTAAGGCCTGGCACCAACGAAGGTCCTGATGGCTAAACCAACGCAAGCCATATACATGTACGCCTTCCAATCTTCACACCTCTTTCGGTCAGGGCCACGAGACATAAGGCAAGTTCCCAATGGAAGTCCGACGCACCAAACAGTCCCTGAACTGTGCGTGCAGGGCCTCTACTTTGGAGGCTACGAGACAGCGAAAACCTTCCTCGGCGGAGGTCGGAAATCGACCTTTAGCATTTGACGATTTCGGAATTAAGGCCCGGGGGAGTCATAGCTACATTGTCAAGACTAGTTGCTTGGGCGAGGGGCGCAGAGGTCAAAGTGGAGTTGGAAACTTTGCCTCTGGCATTTGCGTCGGAATCTCAGCTACGTTCCGCGGTTCCACTGAATGCCTCGCTCTATAGTATATTATAGTCGTATATTATAGTATATTATAGTATATTATAGCCCCAACTCCTGGTGAGGAGTGCAGCCTGGCACAGGTCGTCATGCCCCAAAGTATGCACCTGGGAAAAGCCTTCAAACCAAGCGCCTTCAAATCGCAGCGAGCCAGCTACCTGGACCTAGACATCAGGCCAAAACGTTGTTCATGGCAACCACGTTCGCACCCAAACCCGCACTTTCGGTGCTCCTGGTGGTCAAACGAAGGTCACGATGCGACATGGTAGAAGCAATTTCTATCACAGATGTCTTTGTTGCGCTTGCATGGTCAAAGACACGAAGCAGACTACGATTCCCGAATCCCTGCAGTTTATTTGTAGTAAGGCCCAACTTTGTGGTTCTTTGGCTTGGGTCCCGATGGCAGGGCACCCAAAGAGTGGCAAGCCGGGTTTATCAGGCTTTCCTCATGCTTTGCATGTTCAGTGCTAACTTGGAGCGCTGACGAACTGGGTTTAGCACCAGAGATTTGGTGGCACTTCAGGATTTAGAGAAACTCCCATTTAAAGCATGTTGCATGGATGCATGGGTGGACGGATGGACGGGTGGGTGCACGTTTGCG